TTCAAAAAAGGCAAAGCAGGTGTAAGCAAACCTCTAAATGAAGTCCATGTAGCTCAATGTTCTTAAGCCAGTCCATTCTTGCTACGAAATCTTAACATAAAATCATGGAATGGTTTGGGTTGGAGGGGACCTTGAAGATCATCTCATTCCAACCCCGTGCCATGGACAGGGACACACTGCACTAGATCAGATTGTTCAGAGCCCCATCCAGCCTGGCCTTGGGCACCTCCAGGGGCAGCCACAGCTTCTCTGGGCCCCCTGTGCCAGGGCCTCACCTCCCTCACAGGGATGAATTTCTCCCAGTATCTAATTTCAATCTACTCTCAGTTGAAGTCATTCCCTCATCCTGTCACTACTCCTGTAAAAAGTCTCTTTCCATCTTTCTCGTAGGCTCTTTCCAGGCACTGGGAGCCCACAGTTAGGTCATCCCAAAGCCTTCCCTTTTACATAATGGCAAATAAGGAAGAAATTGTAATGCAGATGAATGTTTCATTCCTTTCTCTATCTCAGGCCATGAGGTAACCAATCAAGACATGAAGAAGCTACTGCTCCTCCTACATTATCCACAAAACACTTCATTTGCTCCAATGGAAAAAACTCCAAGGAACTCAAACACAGCCAGCTAAGAACTCAAATTTAAGAGGTTTACACCTGATCCAGTAAAAGCTCTCAGAAGTGCATAAGGGTCATGCACAAAGTGTGTTGTTGTCAGATCAGTGGGTAGAGGAAAAAAGACCAAAACCAAATATTTTTCCAGCAAGGGAGTTGGATTGAAGAGAGGGTACCAGGGCATGGCTGGCCTTAGGTCACAGGGAAGTGACAGCAGCCTTTGTACAATGTCTAAGTGCTTACCTAGGAATCAGAGCTTTTGCTTCCTCAGCTGTCTCAGGACACAAGTTAGCCAAACATGCCAGTTCAAACTTATGGAGCTTCTTCTGCAGCAGTAAGCTGTAAGGGAACACAACAATTTGATGGAATTACAAGACAGAAATATAAAGGGGCTTAAACTGAAGCAAATGTTTATCCATTTATTTAGCAAATATTTTAACCAGTTGCACACTGGTTTTGGCACTGAAGTAATTTTTTTCAGGAGAAAAGACTCATTATATAAATGCATAGAGGAAAAAATAAAATCCTATCTGCTAACTCCACTTCCCCTGAAATATTCTGCAAAGTCTAGAAAATCCTCCTGTTTAATGCAATCAGCTGTCAGTGAAATACTGAAAACAAAGCACTTCAGAAGGCTTGACCTGGACAAAGCATAACCCTCCATCAAGAACTTCTTGCCTCGTTAGGAAGACAAAAGACTCAATTAAAGAACAAATCACTCAACACCACTAAGATGTACTTTTGTTAAAAAATGCGGGTGTTAGAATGGGAGGTGCTGCTGCCTATTTCTTGTCCCCAACAAACCTCTCCTGTCAAAAAGCAAGTTGAGTTAACATTCAGGCAACACAGACAAACCTCCACTCAACACCCACTGCAACCGGCTCAGCAACAGAAGCAAGAAAGGCTCTTTTGCAAGGTTTTATTCCAGCAGGGTAACACAGTAGCTGAAGGGAAACCCGGCTAGAAAGAGAGTGAATCAAGTGGAGCAGGCAGCCTAAGAAGGGGAAGGGGCAGGAGGCAGAGCTAAGGGCTGGGCTCCAGGGAAAGAGGGGTGGCCAGCAGGGATGCCAAGCCTGTGAGGGGACAGGGGAAGGAGAAACCAGAGGAAGCTGTGACACAAAGGTCCATTTGGGAATCTGCTTTTTCCCCCAGGAAGGCTAACTCTATGGTAAGTAGTTACTGATGTTTCCAGGGCTGGGGACTTGGGATTGACCAAGGGGAGAGAGTTCAGGGGATACTACGTGTGAAAAACGCCAATCACTTGGTTTTAAAATTTTAATAGTAATAAAATGGTTATAAAAATAGTAATATAATTAGAGGAATAATAATTTGGACAATTTGGATTAGGACAACATGAGACAACAGAAACAAAGAGTTACGGACTCCGGGTACTTTCTTCTGGGCAGCACAAGCCTGAAAAAGGACCCACGGTTAACAGAGGATTAACCCTTAAAAGCAACAGCCTGTTGCATATTCATACACCTCATACATGATGCATAAATTCCATTCAAGTACAGGATTCTGTCTGGGCAGTGTCAAAATTAATGACACTTCTTCCTCTGAATCCTAACGGCACCTTCGAGGCAGGGGGAAGAAGTTCCTTTCTTCTGATAAGAGGGCAATAAATTCTTTTTCTCTGAAAGATTCAGGTGTCCTGTGACTGCTGTCTCGCTGCGAGTCCCTTCTTTAAAAAAAGTATCCTACATAGCATAATTTCTATTTTAACATTTTTTTTAAAACCCAAAACTGTATTTAACACACTACTTAAGAGAATTAACACAGCATTGCTTTCTAACACAACACACCTAATATTCATTTTAATATTTGCGAAAAGCCAATGATAAGATATGCATTTTTCAAACTACTTGTTTAAAAGTCACACACTTTTAAACAAGCAGTGTTTTTTTTTTTAAAACACAAAGTTACACACTTTTTGTACAGCAGGATCCCTGTGAGGGGTGCAGTAACCAGTTGCAGGGTGTTTGTTACAGACGCTCCCGCTCACCTGCGCACGCTGGCGATGGTCTCGCGGTTCTTGAAGCGGCTGAAGCGCGCTGTGTAGTTCAGGGTTTTCATGAACACTTCCGACAGCTCCTGCTCGTCCTCGGCGCTCTCGTTCTGCTGCTTGCGGTGCTCCAGCAGCATGTGCACCTCGGAATTCAGCAGCGTTTCCGCAGTTTCGAATTCTGCAGGATGAATGAGGGAATGCCAGCATGGAAAAAAAGGGGTTTGAGAAGGGGGAATGCACAAGTTTTTAGTGTAGTTTAGATCTGGGTAATAAAGAAGTGAAAATGTTTTTCACGGCAGTTGTGTGAGCCCTCTCACCAATGACTGGGCAGCATTTCATACTGAAAATGCTGATAAAAATTACACTCTGAGTGACAGTCCAAGGTGTTTGGTTTTTTGACCATATATTTTACACTTGCAGCCCTAACATGCAGATTTGTTCATATTTGTGCAGTATGTTTTCTTCACCAATTTTGGCAGAAGTAATGCATGACTTGATACAGAAAAAAATATCTAGAACTCTAAAATTCCACAAAATTCAGAAGTGATGCCATAGTTTTCAGAAGTCTCTGAGCTCTTGAAGTAAATATGAACACTGTTGAATGTTTTTAAAAAGGCTTCATTTACTTGAAAAGTTAATTGACCTACTGAAATTTTATGATCAGAAAAAAAATTTTAACCAATCTTAAAAATTCTCCCCCCCTTTAGCCAACTTTGAATTCATTCATCATCACCATAAAAACTGTATGTGTTCCATTAACAAGAATATCTGTCAACATCACAGTATGAGCTGTTCAAAGCAACAGGCTCAGAAGCTGCACCCCAGAGTGCCTGACAGCACTGTTTTATACAACCAGATAGAGGGACTGCTAGAAAGGGGCTGGCAACTCTTATTTTGCATTAAGCAGTAAATCAGCTTGGGCTAAACATGAGATTTTAGCATTAAAAAAACCTGAAAAATAGTCTTTCAGAACTTCCTTATTGTTCATAACTCAACAGTGCAGCAATGCACCATGGTGTCCATTTTTCCCCCCATCCTTTTTTTTACAGTGCCTGTGAAGTATAAATACATTTCTAGAATTTATACTGAATTAATTTTCTGAAAAAAACCCCAAAAAACCAAAAAAACAAACCACAGACAGCTAATGTCCATAGTTACCAACTCTGGATCTGGACAGCTGATTTCCTAACTGCAGCAGTATTCACAAATTTCCAGAACAGCTTAGGTTGGAAGGGACCTTAAAGCCCACCCAGTTCCACCCCTGCCATAGGCAGGGACACCTCCCAGACACTGTCCCAGGCTGCTGCAAGCCCTGTCCAGCCGGGCCTTGGGCACTGCCAGGGATCCAGGGGCTTCTCTGGGCCACCTGTGCCAGGGCCTCAGCACCCTCACAGGGAAGAGCTCCTGTGTCAAACATCACTGAAAAAGCTTATATAAAAAACCAATAACCTTTTCACTATAACCTCACAGGACTTTTTTTTTTTTTTAATACCCAACACACACCTAGCAGCCGACCTAAGAACCGCCATATCCTAAAAATCATGAGATCCTTAAATATATACAAATAATTTATTATCCTGATTTTTAACATTCGCGGCTTAGTAGCTGCTGGAGGGGCGTTGAGCAGCGCTCCGGCCCAAGGAGCCGCTCGGCGAGGCCCGCACCTTCACAGGCGGCCGCTGCCGGCCTCCAACCACCACCCGACCCCCGAGCCCGGGCTCCTCGCCGCCCTCGCTCGCACCTTTGGGGAAGACGAGCTGCGAGGCGTCCTCCTCCACGTCTGCCGTCCGCGGGTCGCTGCCGCCCGCCGCCATCACCGGAAAGCCACGGCGGAAAGGGCGGCCCCGCCTCACGGGAGGGCGGGCGGCTCTATGGGTTGGGGGGGGGGGGAATGGTTGTGCCCGGGTCAGGGCTGAGGGCTCTGCCCGGGTGAGGGGCGGGAGCGGCTCTGGCCGAGCGAGGGATGAGGGCACTGCCCCGGGTGAGGGGCAGGAACGGCTCTGCCCGGGTGAGGGCTGAGGGCTCTGCCCGGGTGAGGGGCAGGAGCAGCTCTGGCCGAGCGAGGGCTGAGGGCACTGCCCCGGGTGAGGGGCGGGAGCGGCTCTGACCGAGCGAGGGATGAGGGCACTGCCCCGGGTGAGGGGCAGGAACGGCTCTGCCCGGGTGAGGGCTGAGGGCTCTGCCCCGGGTGAGGGGCAGGAACGGCTCTGCCCGGGTGAGGGCTGAGGGCACTGCCCGGGTGAGGGGCAGGAATGGCTCTGCCCAGGTGAGGGCTGAGGGCTCTGCCCCGGGTGAGGTGCTGAGGGCTCTGCCCACCATGAGGGCTGGGGTTACTGCCCCGGTGAGGGACAGAAACGGCTCTGCCCGGGTGAGGGCTCTGCCCCGGGTGAGGGCTGAGGGCACGGCTTTCCGAAGGGCAGGGCCCGGTTCTACCCTGGGCGCTGCTGGGGATAAAAGAGCTCGGTTGCCGCTGTGGGGCACTGCGGGGAAACAGCGGGAGCAGGGAGGTTGAGTGCTCTCCCAACAGAACAGCTCTCAGAAGTGTGTTTGAGCTCGCTTGGTAATTAGCTGCTTTTAGAGAGAAAGCAGCGGGATGCTGAACGTGTTATGTATGAGCAGAGGGCAAATAGCTGTGACAGACCAAGACTCTGCAAGTCCCTAACAGGAGGGTGTTGCCAGGTGTGGGTCGGCCTCTTCTCACAAGCGACAGGACGAGAGGACACGGTATTAAGATGGGCCAGGGGAGGCTTAGGCTGAATATCACGAAGAATTTCTTCACTGAAAGGGTGGTTGGACATTGGAGTGCGCTGCCCAGGGAGGTGCTGGGGTCACTGTTCCTGGAAGTATTTAAGGGAAGATTGGAGGTGGCCCTTAGTGCCATGGTCTGGTTGACATGGTGGTGTTCGCTCAAGGGTTGGACTCGATGATCTCAGAAGTCTTTTCCAAAATAATCGATTCTGTGATCTTGAGCCCAAAGTCTTACCAGGCATGAACCAGGGCCCGAGAGCAGGAGTGTGGGGACTGAGGGAAAAAGCTCTTGTCCTTCACATGAGCAAACTCTTCTGCTCTGTCCTTTAGAAGTTACCAAAGAGCTCAAAGCTGCACTGGTGCTCCTCACCAGACTGCACAGCAGCATCCATCTGCCCAGGAGCACCTGAGGACACCGAGGCATCAGAAAGCATCTTCATTCACAGCAGTGGATCAGGAGCTCCATTTCACTACCAGAACATCCTCCAGCTGGACAGCAAACCCTAACCTTAGGAAAACCTTGACTGTGCCAGAATTTCTGTCTATCTCACTGTGATTAATAGACCTTGGACTGTAAGGAGGGAATATTGATATCATAAATAACACACTTCATAAGGAAGGTCAATTTTCAGACTATCCAGAAGCAATCTACAAACCCCTAAAAGTCGTAGGCAGGCTGAAAATTAAGATAATTTTCCCAACACTGCCAGCAAAATAACTTATGGAGCAGTGTTTTCCCTAGGGAGCTCACATGTAAGTGCCTAACCTAAGACTCTTAAAGTAATCATCTTATCAGCCCTTACTATGTCATCCTGTGCCCTAAAGAAAGACAAAAATAGACTGTTGAAGGATTTATGATGAAAACACTCCTGTTCTCATAAACTTGTATCTGAGCCTAGGTGAATGGTTTCCTGCATGCTGGGAAAAAGAATGAATTAAAAATAAATTAGAAGAATATGAAGAGATCAAATAATAGATTATTAATATTTGTTATCTGGATAATGAGCATGGCAGAGAAGCTGATTGGAAAGTAATTTGCTAAGTGATACAAGCAGAAAGACTTTCAGGAAGATGGAATGGAAATATCTTGGGGAACATCTGGCAAATTAAACAATTTCAATTAGGCTTACGAGAAAAGAAGGAAATCCATGCCAGATTGAGGAGAGAAGCATTGAAAATCAGTTGGAATCCTGATGGCTTCTCAAATAACCTGTCAACTCAGAACATTGTGATTCTCAGAGCAGCAGGTAACTCACAGAAGTTTGGGTTGTTAATTTCCCTTTTTGTTTTTCCCCAAGGATCCATTCTACTTAAGTATACAAAGCTAAGATTTTACAGGTACAGTTAAAGAGGCTATCATGAAAGATTAAGTTTATTGTCACTGGTTTGTTTGGTTAAGGTCTCAAGAGCAAAATAAAAATGTTCCTGAATGGAAGCTGCTTCCCCCCACTTTTTTTCTTTGTAAAAGAATTTAAAAAATAAACTTATAAAGCCCACAGTAAATATTGTTCAGCTGCTGCAACAAACCAAATGTAGCAGAGTACCTGACTTTTTGTTATTTTTAAAATGCACTGGCTTCTTCCTCACTAATAGTGATTGGTTTGGCATTTATCAACAAAATATGCATAGAAAAGCAAGGTGAGCTTGATTAAAATAGTCACTGACTAAAGGAACTTTCAGGCAGCTTTACTGGTGACATCCTAATACAAACCTATTGAAAAAAAAAGAATACTTGGCCAAATATAATTCATCATGAACAAAGTCTCTAATATTCCATATTCCAGGGAAAAAAGCTTTGATTCTTGCTGGAGACAGGGTATTGAGGAGCAGATTGTTAGACAGACCTCTCATGGTAATTCCTGTGTAGCCACAGTGTAAACACAGATCCTGGAACAACTCATTGCACCTACACAGACCTTACAAAATGCTCAGCCAAGTATCTCCCTGTAATAAAATGTGGAAATAACTAACAACAAGGATGTCCTGTTACCAGCAAAAACCTATTGTGTAATATGCTTTCCTTCTAATTCAGCAGCAGAAGCACTGTGATTTTCCTAGGAGTTTTTTAAGCTTTCTAGCAGTAATGATGTCTTTCCTGTGGAGTGCCAGGGTGATAGGAGTAGATCCTTGTGGAGATAACCACCCACTGATCCCTGTGGAGATAACCACCCCCTGATCTGATCCTTGTGGAGATAACCACCCCCTGATCTGATCCTTGTGGAGATAACCACCCCCTGATCTGATCCTTGTGGAGATAACCACCCCTGATCCCTGTGGAGATAACCACCCCCTGATCCTTGTGGAGATAACCACCCCCTGATTCTTGGGGACATAACCACCCCCTGATCCTTGTGGAGATAACCACCCCCTGATCCCTGTGGAGATAACCACCCCCTGATCCCTGTGGAGATAACCACCCCCTGATCCTTGTGGAGATAACCACCCCCTGATCCCTGTGGAGATAACCACCCCCTGATCCCTGTGGAGATAACCACCCCCTGATCCTTGTGGAGATAACCACCCCCTGATCCCTGTGGAGATAACCACCCCCTGATCCCTGTGGAGATAACCACCCCCTGATCCTTGTGGAGATAACCACCCCCTGATCCCTGTGGAGATAACCACCCCCTGATCCTTGTGGAGATAACCACCCCTGATCCTTGTGGAGATAACCACCCCCTGATCCCTGTGGAGATAACCACCCCTTGATCTGATCCTTGTGGAGATAACCACCCCCTGATCCAATCCCTGTGGAGATAACCACCTCCTGATCCCTGTGGAGATAACCACCCCCAATCCTTGTGGAGATAACCACCCCCTGATCCCTGTGGAGATAACCACCCCTTGATCTGATCCCTGTGGAGATAACCACCCCCTGATCCCTGTGGAGATAACCACCCCCTGATCCCTGTGGAGATAACCACCTCCTGATCCCTGTGGAGATAACCACCCCCAATCCTTGTGGAGATAACCACCCCCTGATCCTTGTGGAGATAACCACCCCTGATCCCTGTGGAGATAACCACCCCTGATCCCTGTGGAGATAACCACCTCCTGATCCCTGTGGAGATAACCACCCCCTGATCCCTGTGGAGATAACCACCCCCTGATCCTTGTGGAGATAACCACCCCCTGATCCCTGTGGAGATAACCACCCCCAATCCTTGTGGAGATAACCACCCCCGATCTGATCCTTGTGGAGATAACCACCCCCTGATCCCTGTGGAGATAACCACCCCCTGATCCCTGTGGAGATAACCACCCCCTGATCCAATCCCTGTGGAGATAACCACCCCTGATCCCTGTGGAGATAACCACCCCTTGATCCCTGTGGAGATAACCACCCCCAATCCTTGTGGAGATAACCACCCCCTGATCCCTGTGGAGATAACCACCCCCTGATCCTTGTGGAGATAACCACCCCCTGATCCCTGTGGAGATAACCATCCCCTGATCCTTTGGAGATAACCACCCCCAATCCCTGTGGAGATAACCACCCCCTGATCCCTGTGGAGATAACCACCCCCTGATTGCTGTGGAGATAACCATCCCCTGATCCCTGTGGAGATAACCACCCCCTGATCCCTGTGGAGATAACCACCCCTTGATCCCTGTGGAGATAACCACCTCCTGATCCCTGTGGAGATAACCACCCCTTGATCCCTGTGGAGATAACCACCCCCTGATCCCTGTGGAGATAACCACCCCCTGATCCCTGTGGAGATAACCACCCCCTGATCCCTGTGGAGATAACCACCCCCTGATCCCTGTGGAGATAACCACCATCCCCTGATCCCTGTGGAGATAACCACCCCCTGATCCGATCCTTGTGGAGATAACCACCCCCTGATCCAATCCCTGTGGAGATAACCACCCCCAATCCTTGTGGAGATAACCACCCCCTGAGAGCACCATGTGCCACAGTAGCCAGCATTGCACAGACAGGTGTGATTTTCATCTGTGCATTTAAAGTATAACTCTTCAGGTTTAGGTCTTCACACCATTTTACCTTTGTTTTACTCCACTTAAAATTTTATATCCAAAACTATAATGAACAAATTTGTATGAGCAAAGTTATATTAATATCCAGTAATAAAGTCATAGTAAGACTCTGAATGCAAAACTACATGATCTGTTAAGTTTTTAAATACATGTATGGCATTATCAACTGGTTGTATAATACATAATTTATGCCAGAATTAATCTGACTCTAAGAGCAGTCTAGCTCACCATAGAAAAAATATGGTTCAATAATTTCAATAGTGTTCAATTTGTAGAATTATATACTTTAAAGAACATGGAACAATACTCTTCTGTGCTTGCTGTGTTTTGAGAGTGATCATCAAACATATTCACAGACTGCAGCAAAACCATCTCAGGAACTTCCCTATCCCACTGCTCTATGTGCTGTCAGTGTACACGTTAGTTTACTGAGTTGTATAGGTAAGTGTTCTGATTTTCATTTTTATCTTCAAGATAAAAATGGCATTTCTCCATCACATATAAAATAAATTTCTTTTTTGTGTTAAAAAAATGCTAGTATTTTTCCTTTGAAGTACCCTCTAGAAGTTTCTGCTAATCTTTCTGTAATTTGGTTTGATGCTAAATGACTAATTCATTCTGTTTCTTATTTCAAACAGAAGTAACAACAGAAGAATCTGTTTCCAGGAGAATTATCCTGGTTTATATTTAGCCTGGATTGACCTATTTCAGTGTGCAGTCACATGCACACCCTTCTACCTGGCCTCATCCTCCCTGTGAGCTGCTGAGTGTTCCTGTGGTCACAGAATGCAATGTGCATGGAAGAACCTCTGATGAAAGACAGCAGGCAAAGATTTTATGTCTGATTCAATAGGAAACAAAAAAAAAAATCAAGTAGGAAAAGCATATGACACTAAAATACACAAATTAAGCCACTGTATTCCTGCCAACAAAGCTGAGAGAACACACTTGTGGGTAACTTCAGAATTCACAAAGAAATGCAGCTGGAATTCACCTGGAAATCACATTAGTCACAGCACCCAGCTCACATTGCCTAAGGGATTGGCTTTCTGGCCTTCCTAGTACCAGCACCTGAAAACAGGTTTTTGCTCTGTAGCAGTTCTGTGATATATGAGATTCTCAGACATATTTAAGTCAAAACTACCCTCCCCCTTGGTTTGGTTGGTGTTTTTTTAGGGTTTTATGACTGTTTATTGACATCCAGGGCTGCTGTTCCCAAGAGCCACAGGCAGAAAATGTAGCATCTCTAAGTATAGAGCTCCCATAGATAAAAAGTTAACAATTATCTGAAAATGTATGGACAAAACATGTAAGAGATCCAATTCAAATTGTAGAATTGTAAAATTAAAATTCTACAATTCAGTTAATTCTGTCTCAAAGCAAACATTAAATTAGTAAAGATCTAGAAAGATGGGTGTTTCATTCCTCTGAAATAAGGTTTTTATATCACCTGAAGACTACAGCCCTAAAGTGTAGACAATTTGTTCTCAGTTCATTTTAGAAGACAAAACCCCAAAAGAACAAATTTGAGTTTCAGAAAGATTTACTGTACTCTGTAAGTATGTGCTTTATACATTTCACCATCATGACAACTGATAGTTATTGTCAAGCAAACATTATTTCAGGATACAAAGACACTGTTATGTCATTATTAACAAAATATATTTAATATTTGGTTTCAATTTTCCTACTATTTTCCCTTGCTTTCTTGTAGTGAGCCTGTTTGATTATTGGTTTGATTATTGGTCAATAATTATTAATTATTGATTACAGCTGTTTCCAGACAGCTGTCACCCCACTCTGGCAACCTCCCTGGTTTTGAATCTGTGGTGCAATTTACAGGTTTGCTATTCATACCTGTAATATATTGCCTGTCTCTGTAGATGAGAACAATTTCATCTTATCCCCCATAAAGGCTGTGGGAACTCATATAAAGAGGACAGTACAAATAATCTTTATCCATTATGATTTATTCTCTACAATACTTCATTAGAGGATAGAGTTCAATTATTTACACTCAGAAATTATTATATAGGTAGGAGGCAACCAAGTGTAATATAAAGAATTGGTCTGACGTCTCTGCACTGTAGGTCAAAAGAGGTCTCCTGCTTTAAGGAAATAAATTAACCAAAAAAACCCCCAACAAAACAACATGTAGTTTCTGAATACAAACAGAAAACAGCACTAATAGTCAGTGAAGACTGCAGAGGTTTGTTAATGTACTATGAAAACAAATTATTCTGTGCAAAGGTTAAAATGAACTCTTAGATTTCCTTACAGATTTTTTTTTGTTCTGATAAATTGTAGATATGTGATATTTTGACCATATAACATTCCCAAACCGAAATGGCTTCAGTTGAGATTGACTGTTGAACAACATGAAAAAAAAATTAAGAACCTCACAGTGGAAACATTTCAACACTGACAGACTCCAGTGATCAAAGACATTCTCCTGTAGTTACCATAAAACAAAGACATTTCATCATTGCAGTGAGATTATTTATCAGTTGTGGTTGTCATGAGAATAAGCCCTTCTAGACCAAAAGGCACTTGCTTCTAAGGATGAGTTAATCCAGATCAAACCAGGTAACAGTTGCTTTGAGGAGTAGTTCTAACCAGCTGTCCCAGCCAAGCAAACACAGAGAAAATCTCACATCAATTGGCTACTGATTTTGGTTGTCTCCATCTTGAGGAAATTCAAACTGCAGTTTGTGCCCACTTCACCTCTTTCATCCTTATGCATAGCTGCCATGTAATGATCTAGAAACGGGATTATTTCCTGAGACCACCTGTCCTTGTCACACCTTTCTCTGAGCTGACTTAGCTACTGACACAGTTCTCAACTGATTTTATAGCTGGACCCTTATGGGACTAAAGCTGAGAGGGCCTGTTCCTTAGGCAGCAGACCAGTGTTTCTGATCTGCCAGCTTCTCTTCTCACTGCAACAAGACAAGAACACAGTACATATTTAGAGGCATTTATGTTTTGTTTGTGTTTTTTTAAACAGACTGAGTGGGGAAATAGAAGTGGGAGAGGACAAGACTTCCCCAGTCCCAAACCACCTGTCCCACTTCAGGCTTAAACCAACTAAGTTACTCAATCCTAAAATTCTGTTCTTTAAAAAAATGACAACTAACCCTCCCCACCCCACCCTTTAGTCATCCCCTAGTCAAAGAAACTGAAATCAGGAAAACACTATACACTGTTGAAGACACAGAACAGGGCAAACACCTGAAAAAGAAACAGTATAGTTGAAAAGCCTGGCACTGTATGCCTGCATGACCAGTCTCACCGAGCGTGCTCAGGGGTGAAGTTTTAGCACCATTTTTTTGCCTTTTTTTTTAAACCTTTTAGAAATTAAATTCTAACATAGAACACTTGAACAGTAATGAGTGTAGCCCTATGTATCATACTGTTTGACAGCTGAAAGGTGAGTGGTATGCCTGGAGCTGACCCCACCCTCCCCCATCACTGCACGGCACCTGGGGGAGCAACTACAAACTGGAGTGGTTTGTAACGAGACTCATTTCTTCTCAGCAGCAGGAAGTCATGAAACAATCTTTTCATCTTCAATTCTTTCCAACAACATCACAAGGGAAAAGTGGCAATGTGTAGGAATGACCCAATACAGAAGGAGAGCTGGGTCAATATTGCACCGTTATCCAGAGGAATCCCCCTCACATCTCTCTCCTCCATACACCAACACGAAGCAAAATGGCACAAGTTGTGCCTTGCTTCCTTAGGACCAGGAGCAGCACGCTGCAGTTCTCAGCTTCCTACCAGCCCTATTCCCTGCCACACCACAGCATAATTTCAGGCTTCAGACACCAGCCAATTACAACACACGAGCAGGCTCAGAAGATGTGTGCAACCAAACAGCCATGACTCTGCTATGCACTCGTGTTCTCTTCCCCAATCATTACTGACCCTCCAGAAGCTTGGAAAACCAACCAACCTACCAACCAACCCCACCCCAAACTGCATTCTGAAATCCAGTTCTCTCACTGAAAGAGTGCCATAATTTAGAGTTTATGACATCCCTCAATGATGCTGCAGAATAACAACTGATAACTTCCTTTCAGAAAGGAGTATATTCCTTGTGATCATCAACCACCATGGGAGAAGAAATACAGAATGCACACGAGTTTCATGCCATTTGGGTAATACAGATTTCCCCACTCACTGCCTGCATGTGGCAATGACTAAGCTGAGTAAGATAAATCTTACCAGCAAAACAGAACAGCACCATTCCATAGGCCTGGAATAAACTGGAACACCCACAGCCCCTAAGATCAGCAGTCATACCGGCCAAAGTGGCTGCTCTATCAAAAGGAAGGTCCCCAAGACTGTTAGCTTAAATTAAAACAAATTTCAGTCACTGGTCTCACTTGTACAACTACAGCCAATGCTCTGCAAAACCCTCCCCAGCCTAATCCTATCTCTTACAAATATTTGGAAACAAAATTTGGTCAAAACAAAGACTGTCCAGGGACACTCGAGGATCCTTTCCTCTGCGTACACAGCACGTGCCATGTCGCTCTTACAGGCAAAACACCATTGTATTTCATAGCAGGCTTCATCACCAAGAATCCAACCTACTAAGGATCTGAGCCTTAAAGCCTTCAAGGGTTTATTTAAATAATGGATTAATTTTTCACATATTTTCTGTCCATGAGGATGGGGTGCTATCCAGGTGTTCAACCCTCCCCAATATCATGATGTCCGCCTGTGATGCGTGGGGACTGCAATCAGCTCTCAGTACACAACAGATACCAGAGGTTAAAAAAAAAATTAAAAAGAACCTAAAAAATGTTTTGTTGGACTCCGTTGCCCAGGCTGCCAGGGGAATGCTCCTACTTGATCTGGGGGGCTTCCATAACAAAGAGCTCCAGTTTCCAGAGCGTCAGTAACACCCAGGAACAGATCGGTCCGAAGCAGCACTTTCACTCCTAAAGGTCTTCTGCACCTGACGACAGTTCGTAGGCATGGAGCCCCAATCCAACTGAACCCCCGCTGGGAGGGAAGGCTGAGATAAGGCTTGGGCCCCTGAAGTCCTGTGACGCTCTCCCCCTCCCCCCAGGTCAGTGGGAAGGCAGACTTGGCAACGGAAGCTAGCATCATAAAATGGTGCAGTAATAGAAGTAACTGGACCAGGAAGAGGAGGCGTCTGCCCCGATGATGTCATAGCCGTTGGCAGCAACTGGGGAGTGGGACTGGTCATGCAGCCGTGTGTCAGGAGTAATGATTGTAGAGGGGGGGGGCATGAAGGGTGCCATTCTGGAAGCAATGCTGGCGGGAGGCCATGTACTCTGCATAACTGATTGTCACCTTCTCACTGCGGTACCTGCGGGAACAGGCAGAAACACAACGTCAGCCCGAGCAGCGTGGGGCCTCGCATCCGCGCTCCCCCGACGAGGGCAGGAATGGTGGATCTGACTCCATCTTCTCAGAAGGCTCATTTATTATTTTATAGTACTATATTATATGAAAGAATGCTATACTAAACTATACTAAAGAATACAGAAAGGATACAGACAGAATGCTAAAAAGATAATAATGAAAACTCGTGACTCTTTCCAGAGTCTCAACACAGCTACTGAACTAATATTTGGCTCATCTGTCTTCAGAAGGTTTGTATTCAAATCATATTCCCACTGCTGGATATCAATCCCACTACAGGTTAGTTTGTTAAGTCCAATAATGAGGTGGGCAACATAAAAGACAGATGTTATTGTCAGCCTGCAAATACACAAAACCGGTTAAAATGCCTAAAAGCTTGGCACTGATTGGCCAATGAGTCAAAACAACTCCCAGCAGAATCCAATGGAACAATCACCTGTGGGTAAACAATCTCCAAACACATTCCAAAGGAGCAAAACAGAGGAGAAGCAAATGAGATAAGAATTGTTTTCCTTTCTCTCTGAGGCTTCTCAGCTTCCCAGGAGAAAAATCCTGGGCAAAGGGATTTTTCAGAAAATGTGAAAATGCAGGGACTCAACATAAAACATTCACCCAGCTCACAGCCAGTGATGACCAAGAGGAACTCACTGGTATGAATAACCTATGTGAGCTTGAATTAGCTCCAGGGTCCTGAAAGATGAGTCCTAATCAAGGTGATAATAATTAAAGGGATACCTGAAGTAGCACACAGGAAATAAATGATTGGTTTGTATTCTTTTTTATCTACAAATTGCATGAAAAATTGCTGGAAGAAACTACAGTGACTAAATAATCAGTATTTCAGGATGGTTTACTTTTGTGGTTATCTCCACATTTGAAAAGGTAGTGAAAGAAATGGAGAGGTGGGTAAAGAGAGGTTTATTACAGCACATAAATGACTTGGTCCATGCTGCACAATCAGAATTCACAAAATGTGAAGTTCCTTTGGAGAGACTGGAGTTTTCCAAGTTCTTCTAAAGGACATTAAACAACAGCCAGCTACGAAGTGGTTGTGAGTTGCACTAAGATCACATGATTCTCATGTGAGATTTTAATGAAAACCTTCATCCTGTCACCTCCTGTTAAAGAAAACCCTGCACACTCACCTCATTTCTCTAGAGGTAAAGAATGACCTGATAATTTAGTGTTTCTATAGAAAACCAGAAAGTCCTAATTTTTACTAACATAAAGGGGGCAGAAACCAATAGGACAGCTGGGGGTATAGAAAAGCAAGCAAATTCTGAAAACCAGCCAAATTTGAGTGTGGTTTGGTTTCAAGACAGGTGTCACCTCCTAATAGCTACAGCATTCACAGATGAGCACACTGAGAAAAGGAAGTTCATTGAAAAGATGCCAAAAAAATCAACCTTTTAAACTCTCAAAGGCTCTGCTTCTGATCTTTCACATATATGGTAATATTAAAACCAGTGACACTTAGAGAAATGCCAACTTTGATCCTGCATGGGCCAAATCATTGTGCTTAATTCCATGAGCATTACATGCCTAACACGTGGCATTTGTGATTTGGTCTTTCACACTACATCTCCTCTGAAAGAGGCATAAAGACTTACATCAAGCACAAATATTTAGAATCACCCAGAAAAGACTAGAAAGTAAAATTAAAAGACAACAAATATATCTGCTTACCTGGTAAGTTTAATTGTTTTCCTAAAATCATTGGTAATGGGAGCCTTAAAGCCACCTTTCCTGAGTAAGGA